GGGACCCGCCAACACATGCAGGACATGCTTAAGATACTTACTAAAATACATTAAAATACATTTAATAAATAAAAATACATCAAAATACATCATTTTGAACTGGCCAAACTAATAACTCAGATTCCAACTTTGGTCTGTCAGTGACTGCCGAACGGTGCAGTTCTGTCCTTGATGGCATCCTTGACAATCTGAGCTCCCACCTTTTGGTGGCAATTTGTCAGCGAGTTGCCATTCACTGCCTGGAGACTGGTGCCAAGGAACGTCTCACGCAAGGTCATGCAAGGTGAAATATGGTAAAATTTGGTGAAATACAACTGTTGCTTCCCAAAGTTGAAGTGTCCAACCATGCTACAAGCAAACAACACACCATCTCATGATATCTCATGACTTGCCGCGTTGCCATGGACATCTTAGATATCTTAGTACACCCAAACCCGGAGCCCCTACCCAACCCATATCTACCCATTGCAGCGAGAGGCTTTGAGAATCCATCCCGGTCGAACATCCAACTTATCCTCCACTACGCAGCCTTTGTCGTTGATGTTGGCCACCTGCAAATGATGGAAAGAAATCACGAGTGGATACAAAGGAAAGTTATGGTCCTTCCGGAGTCTTGCGTAATGATCTAGAAACATCTTGGAAAAACAGTGAAAAAATCCAACCGGAGGCAAATGTCAAACCAGATTTGCTCTGTTCTCTGCAAATGCACGGAATAGCTGCACAGGAAGTCCACCTTAAGTGGCGCTTGCTTATGAGCCATTCGAAAGCCCAAGGGTGCTTTTCTGAAGAACACATCCACCTCCTTGTCCTCCTTAGCATTTTTCAGGGGCTGTTGTTGAGACCCTCACCTCTTGGAGAATCAGAGCGGATGAAGCACGTGAAAAGGGGGAGACGGGGAGACACTCAATGCTTGAACCAACATGAACCAACATAAACCAACAATCCATTTGCCACGAAGGTTTGACTCAAGTCGTCCAAGATCGTGCAAGTCCTTGCTGACTTTGTGTATCATGGGCGCAGGATTTGAACAGAACAAACCTTCTCAGACCCTGTGGAAAGATCAGGCGCCGTGAACCTTGGATACGGTTTTCAGCCGTTTTTTTTTGCCAAATCTCCTGCCGGGCAAAGCCATACTGCTGAAGACATAAAGAATTATAAAGATATGCCGAGGGTCATCTGTCAGAAATGTGACTGTCAATCCCTTGTGCCTTGGCACGGTGGTGAGGCCAGGTTTGGTGCAAGCCGTGAGAATGTAAAAAGATGATTTGAGAGACCCTCCCACGCGAAAAACCAAGCTACAGTAGCTAGCTTCTGGGGAACATTTGTATTCAGAAGTTTTTTCCCCGTGGTTCACCTCCCAAGAACATTCAAGAACATCTTGTGCTTGGACAACTTACCTGGAAAGTTCCCAAATGAAGCAACATGTGACCCCAAGAGGGTTCACCCCTGAGCCAAATCATCCAAAATCTCAGGCCCACACGGCATAACAGCCTCAGATGGTGGTCAAATGTAGCCAGTCCCGAAACTGTCAGGTACTTAGTGTATTGTCAGTCTGACAAGGCTTTTCACATCTTTGATACATTTTGTCCCTCTAAAAAAAGGGGGCCCAATGGGTGGCTCCATCTGAATCTTACTCTCCGGGCAAACAGCTGTGGCTTTGGAAGATTTTAGCAGGTTCGGCAAAGGAAATGGTGGCAGATGGTCTAGGGATGGCTTTCCTTCTCTCTTGCTCGATCGCCATCTCAGGAGATCAGCAGTCAAGCTGAAGGCGAGCTAAAAAGGCGACTTGGCAGGTCAGCATCCAAGCTCGTTAGCCAGCCGCGTCATATCAACAAGCCACCGCAAAGGTAAAGAACAAATTTCTGTTACTATACATAGGGGGTCAAAGGGATGAAAATGAATAGGCAAAGATCCTAGCAAATCGTGCAGCCTCTCAGCATGTAAATCTTTCTTTGGCATGCCATTTTATTGGTGTGGTTTGTTCCCCATGGTTCACCTACCTACCCAAAATGAAGCCGCTTTTGGTGGAAAGCCGTCCATCACCAACCGTTCCAGCTGGTAGTCTGTTCGTGAAATGTGGCAATTGCAGGTTCAAGTCCAGCCAAGTCACTTCATCAGGATCCTCGGGTGTTGGACAGTCAAAAAAAAGAAGTGTCTCAGGCAAACAAACAATTCAATTCCAATTTATCACACTGTAATCAATGGCACACACTTACTCTTCTAGCAACCAAGACCGTGGGTCAAATGGCCAGAAGTCATGCTGGGAGTGCCAGTGGGTCTCCGAAGCTACGCTTGAAACCTTTCTGAGCATGATCGTTGTCAAGCTTCATAGCAAGCACTGCAGGTGTTTCCCATTTGGGACCCCAGAAGGCCGCTGCGCCACAAACGTGCCTATGGCTACGATCGCGTCGCGTGATTCTGAGCCAGGCAGCACAAAGTCTCACGAAGGCTGCAGTATGCATCAGCAAATTTGAACCCTACGAAGATCAACCCAGGAGATTCCAGAAGCAAAAACGCCGTGAAATACATTTTGGCGAGAGAGGCCATCGAAGTCAGTCACCCGGTTGGCCATAATTCTAAAGTAACCCATTGGACAGTCTGATCAACCAGGAGCGCACCGCTTCATCGTCTTCATCAGCAATGGCCTGAGCATCCACGTGGCAGCTGATAGTGGACCCATGTGGACCCATGTGGAACCACTTGAAGGTTTCATAAGGTTTCTAATCGCTTTTTCTGCTTTCGTCCTGCCAATGCTTCTTAGCAGTACATATCGTTTGGGGAAACTGTCAGCAAAGACATGAAGCAGGAACTCAGCATGTGGCGATTAGCAAATGCGCAATGTTGGAGCGCTGTTCCTCTGTGAGCCTGGTCACTCAACGCGAATGAACGGAGACTAATGATGACATATGATGACTACCAACTGATCCAAAATGTGTCCGTCACCAGGCTGACTTTTCCCTTTGACATGCACGGGAGCCGTTCTTTGATATTGTGTATTGGTATGTGTGGCTCGGAAGCCTCAAATATCATCCACATCCCATGGCATCACATCCCCACCACCTCATGCAGGCCCCGTAGTCGATCAGCCCCAGCTTCCCGTCTGGCATCATGAAGACCTGATTCCCCGGTGTTCCTCGCATTCCACACCACCATCACCATGGTGAAAAAGGGTCCAACGGCTCAACAATGATATTGGATCTCCCAAGAGTCATCGTATTCTAACCCAATCATCCATTCCCAGGGTTTGGATATGTTTGGATATTATATATATATATATTATATATATATGTAATCATATATAATCATATATAATCAGTCGATATCAATCGGGAAGATATCATTGGGAATACCATGGGAACCGAGGTCCAGGCGTTGCCCGCATGCGGATCTGAGTTGAAGAGACCCAGCTGAAAAATTTCGTAGCCGTGGACCTCGTACAGCAACCTGCAGCTTGTCATCTTGGGGGTTGAAATGGGTTGAATGATGTTGATCAACATGGTACACTTTCATACACTTTCTTGATATGGCTATGGATCAATACCTATAAATACCATTTTTAGGGGGATGAACATCCATTTACCAGCTATTTTGATGTTCACCAGGGGTACAAGGTTTTGACACACTGCCATATTGGTTTTGTCATCTTTTATCATTTTCCGGTCTGTAGTCATGGCATTGAACCTCTTGAACATATTGGATGAATTGACTTGATCGGCTGAAACTTAGTCTGTGAGGCTTCACACTGGGCATCCCTCATGATGCCCTGAAATGGGAACACTGGCAAAAGTTTCGAAACAGTTCAAGAAAAACACTGGTAAAAACAAAAGAAACTATTCAACGACATATAATAAAAACTATATTAAAAACTACAAAAAATACACATACTGCTGCGGAATATGCATATAAGAATTCCCCAGCACCCAATCAAAACATCGACAAAGTCACTGACATCATTCCAGATTCCCACCTCGCCAGCCGTGGCCCATTCAAAGGCACCGGGATGCTCCTCCGCGCCCAGCTGGGTGGCCGCACCTCGCAGGAAACCCCAAGTCACCACCGACAGGGGGCTGATCGAAGATGGAATGAAGTTCTCATCATGCTACCGTCGGATATAATATATATATATATATTACATTATATTATATTACGATATATTACGTTGAAATTTCTATTATCGTTCTTATTATATATGTCTTATTATTTTTGTTTGAAATGTCTTTTTTGTCACTGTTGGTGACAGTCGGTTGCAGTTGCTCAGCCATGCTCCACGCTGCACATGGGTCACCATACCAATGCTCCCAGCTCATCACTTGCGGAATTCGACAGGCCCTGAATGATTTGAATGACCCCGGAATCACCATGCTGAAAATTCTTTCCTGATTTTCCTGCTCGAAAATGTGCGGGTTCTACGACCACAGTCTGGCAGACTGTCTGATGCCCCGTTGAGCCCACGGTCGAGCACACCGAGCGATTTGACAACAGGGACTAGACTGCTGCCTTTTGGGGAACCTGATGCGACAGAAACGATCAGGAATCCTCACAAACCATATAGAAAACCTCAGATAAGCTCATGCCACACAAGCATGGCAAAATGCTTGACGACTAGGGGAGATAAGAACAGATATCGCCAAAATCTCGCAGAACCATTTTCCGCTCCCCAAAATGTTCCGGCCCTAGTCCAACTGGCCGCCGTTTAAGAGATCCACATTTTTCACCCTTGTGTTGTCAGGAGTTAACCAGCAAATTTGTAGAAGTAAAATGATCGTAGTAGTAGTAGTCAGTAGTAGTAGTAGTAGTAGCAGTAGTAGTAGTAATAGTAGTAGTAGTAGCAGTAGTAGTAGTAGGTAGTAGGTAGTAGGTAGTAGGTAGTAGGTAGTAGGTAGTAGGTAGTAGGTAGTAGGTAGTAGGTAGTAGGTAGTAGGTAGTAGGTAGCAGGTAGCAGGTAGCAGGTAGTAGGTAGCAGGTAGCAGGTAGTAGGTAGCAGGTAGTAGGTAGTAGGTAGTAGGTAGTAGGTAGTAGGTAGTAGGTAGTAGGTAGTAGGTAGTAGGTAGTAGGTAGTAGGTAGTAGGTAGTAGGTAGTAGGTAGTAGGTAGTAGGTAGTAGGTAGTAGGTAGTAGGTAGTAGTTAGTAGGTAGTAGGTAGTAGGTAGTAGGTAGTAGGTAGTAGGTAGTAGGTAGTAGGTAGTAGGTAGTAGGTAGTAGGTAGTAGGTAGTAGGTAGTAGGTAGTAGGTAGTAGGTAGTAGGTAGTAGGTAGTAGTAGTAGTAGTAGTAGTAGTAGTAGCAGTAGCAGTAGTAGTAGTAGTAGTGGTGGTAGTAGTAGTAGTAGTAGTAGTCAGTAAGTAATAAGTAGTAAGTCAGTAAGTCAAAGTAGTAAGTCGCAAGTAGTAAGTCGCAAGTAGTAAGTCGCAAGTAGTAGGTAGGTAGGTAGGTAGGTAGATAGATAGGTAGGTAGGTAGGTAGGTAGGTAGTGGGTAGTCAGTAGTTAGTAGATAGTAGTAGCTAGTAGCTAGTAGCTAGTAGTTAGTAGGTAGTAGGTAGTAGGTAGAACGTAGAGAGTAAAAAGTAGTAAGTAGTAAGTCAGTAAGTCAGTAAGTCGTAAGTAGTAAAAGTAGTAGCGCGCGCGCTCGCCTCGCGGAAATCCGGGGCATAAATTCCCGGAAGTAGTTTTATTATTAATTTTGCCGTCTACATTTGGCTAAAACCGCGCGCGCTATCGGCCAATCAATAGCGCTAGCGCGCGCGCGCCTCGCGGAAATTCGGGGCATAAATTCCCGGAAGTAGCGTTTTGCCTTATAACGGGTCTACTTTTGGCTAAGACCGCGCGCGCTATCGGCCAATTAATAGCGCTAGTGCGCGCGCGCGCGCTCTCGCGGAAATTCGGGGCATAAATTCCCGGAAGTAGCGTTTTGCCTTATAACGGGTCTACTTTTGGCTAAGACCGCGCGCGCTATCGGCCAGTTAATAGCGCTAGCGCGCGCGCGCCTCGCGGAAATTCGGGGCATAAATTCCCGGAAGTAGCGTTTTGCCTTATAACGGGTCTACTTTTGGCTAAGACCGCGCGCGCTACTTTGGTGCCAAGTTTAGTTTATAAGTGGGTTATATAACCTAGGGTTATATCCCAGTTACTAAGTCATAACTTCTTAGCTAACTTTTTGTAACTTGTTTTTTGCTATAAAAAAAAAGTGTCTTTAAAAGTGATCAAATTTTGATCTTTTTGATGATTTTGAGTGTTTGCTGTTTGAAGCGTTTTCAACTGCTCAAAAAAATGCCAAATGGAGCGGTTTTCAAACCTCTAAAAACTAGTTTTGTTGGAACAGCCGTTTTCAGCATGTCAAACACTATAATTAATCACGTGTTAAAACCCAAACTGTGAATGAAGATGTGTTCATGTCCACTAGAGAGGATGTATTGCTTGAAGAAGTGTCCAGGTGTTCACTTTACCTTGGCTAAATGCTGCAGAGTCCCTTTGACAAAACTCAATTTTTGCAGGATATCCTAGATGTCTTCAACGTAATTACAATATACATCAACATACCCATACCTGCCAACAAATGCATGCAGTATTCAAAACAGAAATGCAGCATACCCTTCTTCATAAGTGCAATCTTCCTTTGGAGCAACGCAGTGTGTTTTTGCAGAACAATATCCCTATGAAATATCAAATGTTCCTTTAAAAGATACACCATGCCCTTTGGAGGAGTACAGTGTGCATTTAACAAAATTTCCTTTGAAAGGGGTCCTCAAGGTGAAAGGGGTCCTGGCCTAGAAGCCTCCAAGATTAATTTCGACCGAGTTTTTGCCTCTGTATGAAAAACTCGGTCGAAATTAATCTTGGGGGCTTCGCGCGCATAAGGAACATTCTTGGCCAGGACCTCTTTCACCTTGGGGGCCCGTTTCAAAGGAAATCTTGTTATTTCCACATGTCTAACCTTCCTTTCAAAGGAGCAGTATCCCTTTTAGAAAAGCCAATATTGCTGCACAAGATGCTGTATTTTTGACATAGAGCATCCCTTTCAAAAGTGCAATATGTTTTGAAATGTGAGATTTTTTCAGAATGTTTTTTCGCTCCTTACAACAGAGCATTGTCCTTTATGGCAACACAATCTTCCTTTGAAAAAGCAGCATCCGTGAAAACCTGGATTACTGTTCATTGATATATGTATCTAATCTACTCTAATCTAATCCAATTCAATCCAATCCAATCCAATCCAGAGATATTTCATCTATATAATCCAATCCAATCCAATCAAACCCAAACAAATCCAATCCAATCCAATCATATCCAATCCAATCCAATCTATCTAACCTAGCCAAATCAAATCTAATCCAATCCTATCCAATTCAATCCAATCCAATCAAATCCAATCTATCTAATCTAATCTAATCCAATCCAAGCCAATCCAATCTAATCTAATGTAATCTAATCTAATTCCAATCCAACCCAATCCAATCTAACCTAATCTAATCTAATTTTAATCCAATCCAGTCCAATCCAACCCAACCCATCCCAATCCATTCCAATCCAATCCAATCTATCTAATCTAATCTAATCTAATTCCAATCCAACCCAATCCAATCCAATCTAACCTACTCTAATCTAACCTTATCTAATGTAATTTCAATCCAATCCAATCTAATCTAATCTAATTCCAATCCAATCCAATCCAATCTTATTGAAGTGCTGTAAAGGCCTCTGTGGTATATGGGTAGGATATATTGAGATATACTAGGGGAAACTGGGGTTTACTTGGGGATACTACGGTATACCATGGTATACTGACCGTATACCATGGTATACTGACCGTATACCATGGTATACTGACCGTATACCATGGTATACTGACCGTATACCATGGTATACTGACCGTATACTATGGTATACTGACCGTATACCATGGTATACTGGTGGTATACTGGTGGTATACTGGTGGTATACTGGTGGTATACTGGTGGTATACTGGTGGTATACTGGTGCTATACTGGTGGTATACTGGTGGCAAACTGGTGGTATACTGGTACACTCCCTAATCCAATCCAATCTAATCTAATCTAATCTGATCCAATCCAGTCCAATCCAATCCAATCCAACCCAATCCAATCCAATCCAATC